AAATTTGCAATGAATGTGGTGTATTTATAGTTGTAGGCCATTGGTAGATTATAAGATGTAAAAACATTTGAAGTGAAAATTTGGAGGGACTTTCGATTTTTTGGCATCCAAATTTGGAACCATCTTGTCAAATTACACATTGTAAATGCTTAATATCCACTCATTTTCTTCTCTTAATTTCGGCCCCTTTCCTTAATTTTTTTTACAGTGGGGTATTAAATTAATTCCATTGTTAATTACCAAGTTAATTTCGGCCCCACTCATTTTTACACTGTCATAAATTAATTCCACTCCCATAGTAATTTTATTAAGATAGTAAAAAGAGCAAAATCAAGTTATCTAAATTCCTTAACACTCGGGTAACAATTTAGTGGGTGAATCAACTAAAGAGATTTTTTTAATGAATTTCACTCTTGTGATAATATTCATTTCCATGTATTTAGGACATTAAAATATTGAACTCAACACTCCTAAAATTAACCAAGTAATAGTTTTTAACGGATTGTAATGACATGATTATCAACAATAAAAATTAAAACTTGCCCAAGTCTAAACTTAATTAGTTACACATATTTGCAGTAAACAAAATAAAAGTAAAATTCATGTTGATAAAAGTAAAATTCATTTTTACAAATTTGTCACAACCTCTAAACCAAGACATTTTGATAATTTAGATTGAAAGTAGCTATATAATCTTGTAAGTTTTTTGACACCTTGGTGTTGGAATATTGATGGAATTGGTTTTGCAAAAAAGACAAAGAAAATCCAAGCACAATCAAAGTTGGAGTTCATAATTTATTTAAGAGCAAGTTAACCAAATCCTATTTTTACAATCATAAAGCAGGAAAATGCAAACGTGTGAGGGATCCAACTAAAACTCTTGATAAAACACATTACTTAGGTCTTACACAGTGTGTGTAGTCTTTTTCAAAGGAGATTTACCTTAATAGGACTATGTTAAAGATTTTTCTTTAAAATATTAAAGAATTCTACCGTGTGGTTATAATCTTGAAGACTGCACGGTTTTTTTTTTTTTTAATCCTTGAGCAAACCACACGAGGTGGGGAAGTGCCGGGGAACACTTCCCAATTTTATTAAAAAAAGTTTGAAGTCGAGCTGGTATGATGACGTGCACTTTGTCGTGTATGCACTCAAAATATTAATCAATACAACACTAAGACGTAGTATAGTGTAGTAATGTTCGTATCCACAGGGAAAGGAACACTTTTCTTTTTATAAAACTAGAAATAGGTAACAAGGTTTTTTTTTGATAGGTTGATGAACTTAATTTATATTTAAGCACGAAGATGAACGACTTATGTGTTTTAATTAATGATAAAGGGACTTGGTTTTGCTTTTATCCACTTAATGAAATGTTCGTCGATCCCGATTATATATTTAATTTAACTATCTTCCTCTCGAATACTCAATCGAGGAGTATATCCAATTCATCGAGGGTAGTTATTAATAACGAGACACGTTCATTAATAAAATTTACTACTGAGCCAATATAGAACACGCGCCGTATATTCACTCGATAGTAGCAATAAAGTCAAGATGAAAACGATTGAGATTGATAACCTCAACACAAGCGGTTTATTGGTTAATCAATATAATTAATTCCCCTTAGATTATTAACCATGAGACGCATGCATTAATAATCCAAGTTTACTACCGTGAAAGGACCGAATTAATAACAAGCGGATTAATCGACCGATTCTAGTATTAATTAATATATGAAACAAAACTAGTTGATCCTTTAAGTAATGCTCAAAATATTAATATGGAATAGGAATAGGAATTAATTAATATTCAAGGAAGAAGATTAACGAAAATAACTCACAACTTACAATTCATTAAGCTTCAAAGTAGCAAAACCAAGATGGAAGAGTTTAGCTCCTCATTTGGAGACTAAACATGAAGAAAATATAAAGAAATACTCCCTCCGTCCCATTTATTTTGTCCCGTTTTACCTTTTCGGGAAGTCCCACTTATATTGTCCCATACCATATTTGGTAATGTTTGTGTGGCTCTAAATCATTCTTACTTTATTCTTACTTTATCAATTAATATCAACCACACAAACCTACTTTTCTTAATAACCGTGTCACCCTCTTCCGGGACAATATAAATGGGACGGAGGGAGTACTTGTCTAAACTAAGATTAGAAGTATATAGGAATTGGTGAATTTAATGTGAAGGAAATAAGGTGTATTTATAGCAATTTGGAGCATTCAGGGATGTGTACCCGATCGGGTTTTCAGCTCACTCGATCGGGTACATTATGCAGCTTCCTCGAAGCTGGAAAATAGGGTCATACCCAACCGGGTCTGTCAGTCACCCGATCGGGTATGACACCCGAACGTGTTAAAAATCTTCCCGCATGATGCTTTGTTCCCGGATTTGATTTGATTCGATTTTTCAGCAGTGTACCCGACCGGGTATAGGTTATACCCGACCGGGTACAGACCAAAAACGAGATCTTCACTTTTTGTCTTGCATTTTTGCACCTTCCTTCCACTTTTGGGGTTCACCAATGGTCCTTTGAATGATCTTTGACCTGTTTGAGCTCAGAATAAACCTAATATAAACAAATTACAAACATTTTTACAAACTAAACTATTACACCAAAACTGTGTAATTTCCAAAGTAATAATCAATCTAAACTAATTAAAAACACAAACATAAACATGGAAATTACATGAATGTCATATGACCTGCACGGTCTTTAATATGGTGGGTAATATGGCAGGTACGCAACTATTCAAGACACAATATGTTGTCTTGAACAGGGACGTCTTGAGGACTTTGGAGGCCCTAGACGAAAAACTGCTTAATATTTAGAAATTATAATAATAATGTTATTTGTATGACAAAGAAATCAAAAATATATGAGATGAATGGAGTAAAAACACATCATATGAGAAACAACACATATCCAATTTTCTAAGAATGGTCGTGTATTTTTCTTTCTCGTCATTAAACTCGTATCACCAACAATTAAATTGTCGTTATGATCATTTACACTCTCATTCTCATTTCTAATTTTTGCATTATCATTTGGTTCATTGTTTTCATTCTCACAAACTCTTCTAAACTTATTGTTTCAGTTTGTACCTAAAGTCATTACAATACAGGCATATTTAACCTTTATAGAAAAATCATAAACAAAAAAAAAAAGAAAAAAATTTACCAATATGATTTCTAGTGACAATCACAAAGCCAAAAAAAAATAACTACATTACTACGACCGTCAAATTAGGTAAAAGATACATAGATATTTCTACCACCATCTAATAAACTAATTGTAAAATTAGTGTATGTATTTATCAAACTACTTAAATTACCAATACATAAGAACAAAAGAAGCATATGAATAATGTATATTCGTTGATCATTAATCATAAGTTTATCTTTTATACTCCATAGTTTATTAGTTTTATTTTATGTGTGTGTGTATTAGTCTTCCTGTCCAGTGCCGCCGGCCTGATGGGAACGGCCGAGGACATGTTGGGATGTTTTTCATCAAGTCTAGTTTATCCATATTAAATTTAAGCTAAAAATTCAATCGAGAAGGCAGTCAAATAAATTATTGAAGAACACTGCGTAGTTAATATAAATAAACAGCGCAGTCTTTTTCAAAAAACTTATTCAACTGCCTCCCCGATTGAAATGAGAATAGATGTGAGCCATTGGATTAACTTCTAATATAACCGTGTGATCCATCTACGTAGAGGTATCCATGTCAATTTACTTTCAACCGTTTCCTACAATCTCGTTCACGATTCCTTTCCTTTTATTTCTGCGCCAGTCTTCCCTCCTTTCTAAGATACTTCCCCTGCGACATTCTCTTCCCCTCCGACCTTCTTCCCTCTTTCTGCGGTGCGATGGTCATTCGATATCTGTGATTTTGCTTGTCGAGTTTTTTTTATTCCGCCGCTGGTTTGCTGCTTCATCTTCTTCCATGGAGTTCGGTTAGTATTCATTCTCTGTTTTTCTTATTTCATCCTTTAATTTATATGTATTTGTATCATTTTTGTTTTGGTTGATTATGTGAGGTAGTACACAAATTTGATATAATTCAATATAATATAGATTGACGATGATTCGTTTCATCCTTTAATTTATACTCCGTATATATTCGTATCGCTTTTGTTTTGGTTGACCATTCTTAATGTATATAAAGCTTTAAAATATGTGGTTATATGCATTTTAAAATTTCTAATTATTTTGCTCTTACACTTTAAATTTTATTACGATGCTCTTATATGCATTCTGATATTGCACTTTTACTCTACTCTTTTTTGTTTTTATTTCAGCTGTTAATTCATATATTATCTTTATATGTTTTTTGGGTGATTATGTGAGTTAGTACACAAATTGGATATAATACATTAGAATGTAGCTGGATTATTTTTAATTTCCTTAAGATATTATACATAATACGCTTGTAGCGTAACCATTCTTAATGTATATCAATCATAAAAAAATGTGGTTATATGCATTTTTCTTGTGCACATTTATACTTTATTACGATGCTCTTGAATGCATTATGATGTTGCACTTTTACTCTGCTTTATGTGCTAAACCATGTGTTTTTGAATCATTTGTGTCCATGGTTCCATCAGTTTCGAATGACGTTCCCTTCAGCGCATCTACATCAATTTCTCAATCGTTTGATGTTAATTCAATGAAAGTTTCTCCGGGATCCACCATGTACTGGACACCTGATTGTGATCCTGCTTTAAAACCGTGTGTTGGTATGTTATTCAAAACCTTACATGATGGTATGCTTTTTTACGACCAGTATGCATCAGTTTGTGGTTTTGAATCACGTAAAAGTAGTCAATCGAGGGCTCGCGATGGCGTTATTGTATGGAAATATATGGTGTGTAATAGACAGGGCTTCAAAAACGTATCTAAATCTACGAGGTTGCACCTAACGCCGATTCATGCAACAATGTTGATTTAGATAATGAGTTACGTATTGAAAATGAAGATTTCACTATTGAAAATGAATCATCTGATTCTGATGGATGTGAAAATGAAGAGTAACCTCACATTGAAGAGTTAATAACTCCTGGCGTATGTGTTAACGATGATAAGAAAAAAAGACGCAGGGTTTCTAATAGGTGTGGTTGCAAAGCACGTGCAGTTTATAGGCTTGCTGGCACTAGTGGATATGAAATTACATTCTTTGAGGAGAGGCATAACCATTGTATGTTTTCTGATTCTTCGATGCCATTTCTGAAAGTGAATAAGAAACTTGACCTTGGGCATCATTTTTTTTTTTGAATTGCGCTAAGGCAAATACATGCATGATGAAATGCTATCGATTGTATAAGGAAACTGTTGGCGGTTATGCCAATATTGGTGCTACATCCGTGGATTTTAAGAATTTCAAACGTGACTTGAAGGCTTATTTAGTTGGCGTGGATGCTCAAAGGTTGATAGATAAGCTTTTTAGAAAGAAAGAGACTTCTTCCGCCTTTTCATTTGACTATGTTGTTGATGAGAGTGACCAGTTGACACGTATATTTTGGGTGGATCCAGTGTGCGTAAAGAACTACGCGTTATTCGGGGATGTTGTTTCTTTTGATGCTACCTACGAGACAACAGGTATTTTTATAATTAGTTATTCATTGAAAAGTTATCGGAATGGGCATTTTAAATTTAATCAATGCACTATTAATTTTTTCTTTGACAACGCAGGTATAACATGGTTTTTGCCCCTTTCACCGGCGTTGATAATCACAAAAAGTGCATTACTTTTGGTTTGGGTTTGTTTTTTAAGGAGGACGTGGAATCATATTTTCAACTATTTCGTTGTTTTCTAAATGCAATGGGTCGAGAACCAAAGTGCATCATTACAGATCAAGACAAATCCATGAAAATTGTTATTCCACAGGTCTTCACTACAGCATGTCACAGATTTTGCATGTGATGTTGGTCCCAAATAATAAGATTGAAGAACAGCTAAATAAGATCTACAATAATATAGAGAAGGATTCTTAATAATGATCGAGAAATAATCTGAATAGAAGAAATCCTTACGCTATACTATCGAGAAATAAAGAACGAAAACTCTGAGTGAAAGGCGCTGTATATTTCTGATTATCGATTATTCAGTCCTGTACCACATGTACGCATATTTATAGGCGTAGGTACAGGTACTGAAATGGTAACCTAGAACTCTGGGCCTAAGGCCTTTTTGGGCCTTATTACCATAGTTCATTTATTCTTTACATAATGGCTATAAATGATAAAACTATTCTAATTGGAATAACAAGACTCTAGACAAACTTGATCACAATAAATATTTTCCTCAACATGTGACATATTATGGAGAAGGTGAGTAAGAAAGTTGGTCCGGTTTTGAGTAAAGATTCTGATTTTATAAAAGAATTGAATTCTATTGTGTGGAGTCATTATTTGCAGCCACCTGAATTTGAAATGAGATGGACTAATTTGATGAAAGAATATGACCTACTTGATCACACATGGTTCTCTCACATGTTTGAGATTAGGACGCTGTGGGTTCCTACTTATTTTGGCGATCTTTTCATGGCGGGTTTGCTTATGACTACATCCTGTTCTGAGAGTGAAAACAATTTTTTCAGTGAATTCACGAATCCTAATTTTAGTTTGGTTGAGTTTTATATGCAGTTTGAGAGTGTAATGGATTCTCAAAGGCATAAAAGTGCACAATTGATCAAAGTTTCAGAGTCCTCCATTCCCGAGTACAAGACTCCGTTACATATTGAAAGATATGCTTCCTCTGTTTACAATCTTTCAATTTTTTATCTTGTTCAGAAGGAAATATGTTGCGCCTGTTTTTCTTGTGCTGTTCTGAGAACGAGGTTTTGTGTTTACGTATGTCATATCAGACAAACGAGGTTTTAATTTCACTGTTGTCCACAATGCGAGTGACGGTACTACACGTTGCTCTTGCAAACATTTTGAAAGGCTTGGCATATTGTGTTGTCACATTTTTGTGTGTGTTGAAAGATAAGAAGGTCAATGCAATTCCAGATAGATATGTGCTACTCGATGGTGCAAAGATTCTATTCTAAAGCCTGTTAATGCATTTGAAGATGGTGTTTTTCAACAGTGTGTTGGCACTAAAGAACATACACTAACTATGAAGACATTGTTTTCAGATATTAATTTTTGTGTTGGAATGATTGAACATCAACCTCACTTGTTTCAGCAGTTTTTAGATGCCATTAAGGTGCAAAAAAATAATTATTGTCTACCTCTCAAATAAGTAGTGCAACAACATCTTCAAAAAGTGATGTTATCAAAGGATTTTATGGGTCATCTATTCCTACTCAAGTTAGCGTACATCCACCTCAGCAGGCTCGCAATAAAGGTAGTGGTAGGAGGATTAAAGGTGGCAAGGAGAATGCAATCGAACTGAGCCAGAAAACTAAGAGGTTATGTAGAAAATGTAATAAAAAAGGGTATCATGACTGTAGGAATTGTCCTCTGAACTTGGAGGAATGATTATTCTTTTGTATTCATTTTTGCAATTTGTCCTTTGAACTTGGATCAATGATTGTTCCTTTTTACTCTTTTTTAGGAATAATAACTTCAATTCGTATCAATGATTATCCTTTTTAATTTATTGTTACAAATTAGTATGATTGTTATTTGTTTTGATTTCGCATTTCTTAATTGCAAATCAACATTGTTTGTGAACTACGTAGTTATTAATTTAGTTTGTTCACTTTTTTTGTTTTTCATTCCATTTATTTTTAAACACTTAGAATTAGTTATTACATCCTTCATCTCACCAAAACGTGCATTTTTGGCAACCCAACTGTGCATTCTTTAAATTAATCAATCTTGCATTTTTAAATACATATCACAATGCAATATAAGTCCATATGTAAACACTTTTTGCAATTTCCTTACTTAATTAGATGGACGTTATTTTTTTTTTATGTCATGATATTGATATTCATCAAATACTAACATATTATATAATGATACTATATATTTTTCATATCACAATGGAATTTAAGTCCATATGTGAACACTTTTTGGCTAATTTCATTACTCAACTTAGATGAACGTTATTTTTTTATGTCATGGGATTCGTGAAATAGTGTCTGATTTTAACTACATATTCATTTTACTTAGCTTGTAGTTCATTTTGAATAAAAACTACACATATATGTTTAATAGGCAGTGGTTTTACTAAATTGTGCATATGGAAACTTGTATGTTTTCAGATTTCCCTTAATTGTCTTACTTGAGAAAGAACACTTAAGGACATATTATCAGTGAGACTTGCTCTAAGCAACATCATGATGTCCTCTCTTCATCACTCATTCCTACGCAAAGAGTGCAAACATCAAGCAACCAGACTGAAGAAATGACCTTGTATGACGGTTGCTCAGACCTAGATAAAATAAACCGGGCTAACCCCATAGGCACAAAGACTGATCTTTTCAGTCTCCGAGTAGAAGACACAGCATCCAGCTCAATTGTGCATACACAAGCCTCCGCTGACCACTCCGCTGCCTCCCAACAGGTTGTAGTTTTAACATCAGGGGATCTCATACCCACTCTCTGCCCCCTTTCAGAGCAGTCGAGGATATCTATAGTGACCACCAGCCCCAGGTCACTACCCCTCCTTATACCACGTTGTGTCTAGGTGTCACCCTCCATATACTTTCTAATTTTTCTAGGACACATACACTTTTCACACCACCGCACTCTACAGGTCCACTTTACCTGTCAACAACGATCGGAGATACGTTGATGATGATCGGAAGTCCTGCTGCTCAACAGATAACTCAATCATTATCTGCAGGCCACACACTAGTAATCTTTATCGATGTTGTGATAACGGTTACTACCCCTATAACCGGACAGCTTTACCCTACCGACCTTTCTGTCATTTTGTAGCGTTTCTTGGATTCCACCATAAAACCATGGGTGCACGAAGGAATAACCGCTCGGGCACAGGAACTCAGGACCACCCCGGCACTTCTTTATGACATCATCCAAACCCTAGCTCAACCCTCATCCTCTCACTCCCAACAACAACTCACCCCAATCCTTTCCCTATGCCATTTACCATGCCATTCGATGACCTAGCATCCATTATGCTAGCGAGAATTCTGGAAACCAAAGAAGCTCCGCTCACTGACAAACAAAGAGCTCTGCTTGTGGTACTTGAAACCGAAAGCACATGCAATGACAGTCTCCGCGGTCACAAACGTTCACATGAGGACCCCAATTATTCGGCTCCTCATGAGGGGGAGAATAACATGCAACAGATACTCGAGCATGGTGCTTCATCTAGCCAATAACCCCAACCTGAACCCTCAAACAACCAAGATAAGATGCAAGAATTCTCTCAAGGATGCAGATTTTGAGGGGGAGTTTTCAAGGTTCTCCTCCCAAGCGCCAATTATCATCAAAGGCATCCTACTGAGTGCTACAGTTGAGGGGGAGCACAAAGAGAAAGAGCATAGAGAAATGAGAGATAAGTCTCAATGGCTTAGTAAACCCAACTAAGCCTACCCAAGGGACAAAGCTGAGAGTGAGTGATTAAATGAGTGAACATTATGAGAGTGAGGAAGCAGAAGGCTCAAGTGAGCGAGAAAACAATAATCAATGACATTTCTGCTACCTTAACTGTGCTATCAACCAAAGAATTACTCCCAGTCACTCAAATACTCCGGACAATCCCCATAGGTTCAGGACTGAATTTATTCAGATCCTGGGTAGAAGTCGCTACATTTTGTCCAAACGGCGCGTGCATAACCCTACCCAAGACCACTCACTTGTCTCCCAACAGACATGTGTTTAATCATATTTCACGGGGAACCTCATCTCTCATCACTGTCTCCTTTCGAGGTAAGTGATACTGACCACAGTGGCCTCAGCCCCATGCCACTGACATTCATTGATCACGTCGTGTCTAGTTATCTCACTCCCAAATGTTTTGAATTTTCTAGGACACAAACACTCTTTAAAGTCAGTTGCAGGTCTTCATGACCCGCGAGAACTTCCATAGGGCTCATCTACTATGGATGTAGACCAATGATTGGAAGGAAGTCCTGCTGTTGCAACATAGAAATCTCCAACATGTTCAGGCCATCGCTTTAGAGTTTATCTTTATGGTGATGATAACGGGTGTCTACGCGACCCCGGGGGGCTACAAGGTTTTCATTGCTGATCTTTATGATCATGTCATAACAACCAGAGTGACATCTACTTCAGATGCTTCACAATGAATGGTTGGAAGTCCTGTTAGAACTTTATTGCTTCTATCATTTTACACAGGCCACACATCGGTTTTTACATTGATGTTGTGATAACGGAACACTATGGTATATCCGGTTTTTATCTTATTTTTTCCTTTTAGTTTTTGTTATCCAGAATAAAAGAATAAAAGCATGACGTCCCGATTCATCGGATCGTCATGAGGGGGAGAATGGTCCACATGCTGTTTACTATCAACAAATCATTCTTGGACACTTCTCTCCTCCATCACAAAAATCAACGACGGCTCTCTATTCTCTCAAATCATCAAATGGTCAGCTAAACTCAGAAGTTAACCATCTCTTTCCGCTGTGCCACCGACGATATCTCCTCAAAGTCAATCTTTTTCCGCTGTGCCACCTACACATTGAAGGAGACAGAGGTCGGGTAATCAAATTCTGAAAATGAATCACATGCGCACCTGGAAATCATCAGAACATTCATTCAAAAGGCGCCATTGGAATTCATTCAAGCTGATCAAGAGCAACTTCTTGAAAACAAGGACTACATGCAAGACTTTGAAGATTCCTCAAACCCTGGCATCAAAGAATAAATTTCCAAGAAGATATCAAAGGGGAGATTGCAAGGATTTCTTCAAAAAGCCTTCTTAAGAAGTCGAGCTCAAGACCAAGACAAAGGAAGCTGAGCTGCACTGAAGATCAAGACAAAAGAGGAGCAACTCAACAAATGTTATCTACGCTCTCCTCTACATTGCTGAATAAACACAAAGACAAAGATATTCG